CTCTCGGAGAGTAGTAAGGAGAGAGACAAATAGCTTTTGTTGTCGCCTCAGTGGAGAGAGCCTGAAATGTAGCAGAAAGTAGGCACTCAATCTGCTATTTGGCGATTCATACATTTTCGAGCCTATCTGACAACCACGAATTCAACCAAATCTACGCCACCGTTTGGCTGCAGCCCCACTTCTTCCCTTTGCTTTGCGAGTGCCCAAAACTTTATGCTCGCCTTTTATCGTGGTGCCCTGCAATCTAGCTTGTGGACAAAGGGCATGTTCGCTTGAACTTATCAGCCGATTTATCAGTTAGAATCTACAATATTTTTCTTTTACAATAAAACAGCTTCAGCCAGCTTATCAACCGGCTTTAATATCAGAATCAGATTAAATGGATCCTGCTCATTGTTTAAAAAGAATTGAAAATATAAATGGGGATTCTGCAGAATCAGATTACCTGCACTGCGTTCTGCTGGGCCAGTACTCATTACTCGATACTCGCAATCCAAACCATAGCTCATGGCATGCTTTTGCAACAAATGTCGAAGGTACTCAATCAAGACAGGCAAGCAATGTGAGCGAAATCATCCAAGTTTACAAATCTGGAAACTTTGCTCAGAGAAAATCTTGTTTCGACCGTGCACATGGATCGCAATGAATTTAGAGCTCATTTGGAGAGGCTCCGTTCAGCTCCAGCTCCACCACCACTCTAGCGGCAATGTGAAGGAACCGGTGGAGCCCCCAAAATGTTGTCTTTGGCTGGTTGCTTCTTCTTCTTCTTCTTCTTTTGGCGAGATGCATGGTTGCTAATTCATTTGAAGAGGAGCCATCGAACCGTTACACAGTGCGTCACATTACTACACAGTGCAGCGCAGTAGTTGAGCAAGAGAGTCGAAGCCTTCGAGAGCCCAACCAAACGAGCTCTTAGTCAAGAAATATAACCCAGATGTTCAAGGCCAGAATTTACGAATTATACAATCAAAGTTCAATTGAAAATTGAGATCCTAGTTACCCTGATTCCCATTTTGGAAAATGGAAACCCCTTGTCTAATTTGCTCCTGAGAAGACAAACATTAATGCTCTCGTGAGAATGTTCGAACGGACGAACGCGGCTTCTCACTCGTTACCGCGCCGCCATCCACTCGCTCCCGTCCGTGCCCCTTCTAATCTAAAAAAAACTCTCTACCTAGGGGTGGTCGCCCAACAGGGGCTCGCCACCCAGCAGGGGTGCTTGCCCAGGCCGTGATTGCAGATGCTCGCCAAGTGGGTTGTTGCGGCCCCGAGCAGGTGCTCGCCTAGGATCACGCAGTGCTCGCCACTCTATTGGGGCACCAGCGAGCTCCATGCGCCACCGTAGACATCCACGCCGGTGTCGAGCTCCGCAACAACCAACCTTCGTTCGTCCAAACAGCAAGGTTATATTTCAAATGGTTCATATGTTTCATCTGGATGTTGCAAAAGTAGATAGGAGATGTTGCACATGTTGCAATGCTATAAATGTATGTTGCAAGTGTATGTTTCAAATGTTTCAGCTGTTTTTCAGAAGCATGTTGCAAGTGTATGTTTCAAATATTTTAGTTGTTTCAGACATATGTTTCAAGTATTTTATCTGAAAGGTGCATATGTTGTAGTGGCTGCACACGTGCTCCCTCCGTCCAAAAAAATGTAATTCTCGTTTCTCGAGAAGTCAATCAGTTTAAACTTTGACCAAAATTATATAAAAAACTAACATTTCTGATGTAAAATTAGTATCATTAGATTAATCATAAATCTATTTTCATAATAAATTTATTCGGAGAAATAAATACTAATACTATTTACTATAAATTTGGTCAAACTTGAGCTACTTTGACTGGCACGGATCCCATAGTTGTATTCTTTTTTGGACGGAGGGAGTATATTGCAAACGTATATTCTAAATATTTCATCTATTTTAGACGTATGTTGCAGCAAGTCCTCATGTTACACCGGGGCCAGATGGATACACTGGCGCCTTCTTCAGATCATGCTAGGACATCGTCAAGGTTGATATCGTCAATGCGGCGAATGCCTTCCATTCACTACGGACAAACAGTCTTGCACTCCTCAACTCAGCCAACGTGGTTTTGATTCCCAAAAAGGATGGTGCTGAAGCTATTATAGACTTCCGACCTATTAGCCTGATTCATTCCTTTGTCAAAATAATCGCCAAGGTACTTGCATTACGGCTAGCGCCCCATATGAGTTCCATTGTCTCCCCAACGCAAAGTGCTTTCATCAAAAGACGAAGCATCCATGACAACTACATGGCCGTCCGCAATGCAATAAGACGCTACCACAATTCTAAGCTGCCAACAATATTCCTCAAGCTCGACATCGCCAAAGCATTTGATTCAGTCAGATGGGAATATCTCCTCACTCTGTTGAATAAGCTTGGATTTCCTAGTCGATGGCAAGACTGGATCGCTGCACTTCTATTCACCTCTTCGACGAGGTTTCTGTTGAATGGCATCCCAAACGCGCCTATCAAACATGGCAGAGGGCTTCGTCAAGGCGATCCGCTGTCACCTCTATTGTTTGTCATAGCAATGGATCCACTGCAAAAACTGCTTGATCTAGCAACCGAAAAAGGACATTTGTCCAGGCTGAGGGGAAGAACAACTCAAATTAGAGCTTCAATGTATGCTGACGACACGGCCATTTTTGTCAAGCCAACAAGGGAAGACATCTTGGCTATGGCCGAGCTCCTAACTTTGTTTGGCGAGGCTTCAGGACTGAAAACCAACTTTCAGAAATTCAAAATCATCCCTATACGGTGTGAAGGATTAAATCTAAATGAAATCCTTGCTGGCTCTCCAACGGAAATTTCATGCTTCCCAACCAAATACCTAGGCCTACCGTTAACGCATCAGCGCCTAAGGCGTGTGGACTTTCAGCCTCTGGTAGACAAAACGGTCAGCAAGCTCACTGCTTGGAATGGGCGCCAAATTAACCCAGCAGGTCGCTCCACTCTGGTTAAAGCGGTCCTTCGCAAGCAGTCTACTTCCTCACATCCCTCCGTGCACCAAAAGAGACAATCAAGGACATCGATCGGCAGAGGAAGAGGTTCCTGTGGGCAGGCGCCGAGACGCTAACAGGAGGAAAATGCAAGGTCAATTGGCCGAGGTCAGCTAGACCCAAATATTCTGGAGGCTTGGGCATCCTCCATCTAGGGAAGTTTGCAAGGGCATTAAGGTTGAGATGGCTATGGCGACAATGGTCAGCAAGTTCTGATGGAAGTCTTGGGGATGAAACCCCATGTAACACGACCGATCAGCTCCTTTTTGTGGCATCCACAACATTAACAATAGGAGACAGAAAAAGAGCATTATTCTGGACGAGTGCATGGCTAGACGGCCAACGGCCATGCGACGTAGCGCCGCACCTCTTTGCCATCTCCAGAAGGAAAAATAGAACTCTGCAATAGGCACTCCTTGATAATAATTGGATTCACGACATCAACCTTCAGCATCATAGTTTCTCTGCCCAGCACTTAGCTGAATACACACATCTATGGCAAACAACTAGGCGCATAATTCTAAGAACGGGCACGCCAGATAACCTTTCCTGGAAATTTGAGGAAAATGGTGAATACACAACATCCTCTGCTTACCATGCCCAGTTTATTGGTGCAACCAAAAACAACTTTGAGGCACTCATTTGGAAACCTTGGGCACCACCTAAATGCAAATTCTTCAGTTGGCTTGCGATTCAAAACCGAGTTTGGACCGCTGATAGATTGGAAGCTCGGAGGTGGCCAAACCAAGGAACCTGCACACTATGCCGGCTTCATGCGGAAACAGGCCTCCATCTTTTCAGGGACTGCAGATTCACGAAGCGCCTCTGGAAGAAAATTGCCACCTGGGCACAAAACTCCAACCTACACCCGAGTGCATGGCCACATAGCGAGACACTTGAGAAGTGGTGGATGGCGATGTCAAATGCGCCGAGTACGAGGAGGAAAGGCCTAAGTTCGCTCATTATACTAGTTTGTTGGAAAGTTTGGAAGGAGAGGAATTCGAGAGTTTTTGAGCACACAGAGTCCACCAATTTTATGGTTCTTCATAGAATCAAAGACGAGGCGAGACCGTGGATCTTGGCGGGAGCAAAGCACCTCTCTACTTTCCTTCCTCCACAACAACTTCTCTCCTAGTTTTCAATTATGCTTTTTGATTTTCTAGTTGTGTACAAGTTAACTGAGTTTGTACAGTGTCCGTCTAGACATTCCTTTATTTTAATATAGCGGGCAGCTCTCCTGCCGGTTCCTTTAAAAAAAATGTTACACGCGGGAAGCGGACGCAAGCGTTCCCCACGGAGCGGCGCGGGCAGGCGAGCGCGGGCAAGCATTCCAGCAGCCACGCGCCGGAAAACAATCTGGGAAGCCGCCCTAGGCCCCTTATACATGACGAATTGACGATGGCCAGAAACTGTGGAACCTCCAGGACTCCAGGCGCCTTCTCCGTTTCGGGAACAGGTTAATTGGGCCGGAGCAAGGCCCAGGTTGCCAGGAGATTCGGGTGCAAAACCCATGAAAACTACCTCCTGAGTCCTGACAAAGCCGAGTAGACGACACTCGTCGCAAAAAAAAAAAAAAAAAAAAAAACAGCGCGAAGAAATTAGCGCACCAGCATCGTGAGTTCACGACTGGCCGACGTCGACGTGGCCTCGCCAGATAACGAGCGCCGAGACGTTTCGCTGGACTGACACGACCTGCCAACCGTTGAGCCTTGACGACTAGTGCAGGTACGGAGTACATAGTACGCTGGATTACGAGCTGCCGCGGGTACCATATGCATCGGCATCGCTGGCGTCGTGTGCCTGCTCTGTACATCTAACCCAAGCTCGGCAATGGCAGTGGCAAGCGGCAGGTTGGTCAGGGCAACGACCAAGGCATTCCAAACGGACAGACATCTTCGACGTCTGGTAACACCAACACCTACCGCATCCCCTCTCTCAAGTTCCCGTTACTATGGGAGGCGAAGAAGCCGCCGCACATGATCAGCCGCGGCGCAGAGCAGAGGGCTGCCCTAATCACCCTGGGAGCTGCCAGCATGACACCTGAGAAGAGGCAGGGGGTTTTCCTGTCGGAGTCGGGGGTGAAGAGCATTGATCTCTTGTTACCCCTGGCGTATGAGATCACGAGGAGGATGATCCTGAGGCAGTTTGGAGCCGCGCAGTTGGCACTGGCAGGGCTGTGTTGGTCCAAGATCATCGAGAGAATGATCCATCAGGTAAGAATTCTCTGAAAGACATGCACGCTACAGAACTTGCAGTTCATAGAAACCAGCTCTTCATCTTTGCTAACAGAGTTGATATGGACAACAACGTCATCAGGTCATCGTTAACTGCCAGTCTTTCACACTGATCGGTGTTGCGGGATCCCTCGTTGGTTCAGTCCCGTTGTTTGCTGAGGTAGAGACCCTTTCTTCAGTTTTTTCTGCCTCCTATAGCCAATGATGCGAGTGAAGATTTCCCAGGCTGACATTTCTATACGCTTGCAGGGTTGTGCAGTTGTGATGAAGTCATTCTTCATGCGCTTCCACGCCATGTCCCACGCAGTAGATCAGGGTGAAACCATAAGGTTGCTTACACTAACAGAGAATAGGCCTTTGATCCTCGGTCAAAATGGGCTCTAGTCCCGGAATTTTTTGCGCCCGAGATTAGAAATACCTTTAGTTCCGGTTGGTGTCTCCAACCGGGACTAAAGGTCCCTGCCCCAACGGCTACTGCGCCAGACAGAGGTGGCAGGGACCTTTAGTCCCGGTTGGAGCAACCGGGACTAAAGGTATACTTTTACTCCCCGTTGGGGGCTCCAACCGAGAGTAAAGGTCTACTCCCGGACCGTGGCTGCGCCCGGGGTTGGAAAGTTACCTTTAGTCCCGGTTGGAGCCACCAGCCGGGACTAAAGGTCCCCCCTTTATATCCCGGCCGGCTCCTCCTTCCTCCCCGAGCCCGAGCTCAGCACATTTTGAAGCTCACTGCAGTAGTGTTCTTGCTTCCTCCCTCCCTCCATTGTTCATCCATCCATTATTCGATTCCTCCATCGATTTCTTCGATTCCTCCGTCGATTCTTCAGTTGTAAAGGTTACCAATCTCATACTCTTATTTTTCACCATTGTCTTATCTCATTTTGTTCACTATATATATATGGTTCTTTATTTTGGTTTTTTTTCATTTGTAAGCAATTTGAGCTCAAAATCACTTCAAGCTTGCATATTTACATGAAATAAGGTTAAAGTAGCTAGTTGAACTTGCGGACCGTGTTCATCTCGGCGAGCACGTTCTTCCGCCGAAAGATAACGGACGTCAAGGAGGAGCTTTGATTCTACGAGGGAGAGCGGCAGCGGTCGTGGAAGACCGTGTTCCCTTCCTCGTAGAATTGGAGCTCTTCCGTGGTCAAGCACGATGCCGTCTCGTGGAGAAATGCTCACCGAGATGATCACGTAAGCAAGGTCAACTAGTACGGATGGTTATTTATTCACATGTCCCGATATCGTCGCAGATGTCTCATCAATCACCGTACCCAAACGTAGTATATATATAAATATAAACTTAGAAAATAGTTAGAAAATTATAGAAAATCCATACTAGTTGAACTTGCGGACCGTGTTCATCTCGGCGAAAGCACGTTCTCCGCCGAAGCGGTAGCGGACGTCAAGGGGAGCTTTGATTCTATGAGGGAGAGCGGCAGCGGTCGTGGAAGACCGTGTTCCCTTCCTCGTAGAATTGGAGCTCTTCCGTGGCCAAACGCACGGTGCGTGTCCGGTGGAGAAATGCTCGCCGAGATGATCACGTAAGCAAGGTCAACTAGTATGGATGGTTATTTATTCACACGTCCCGATATCGTCGCAGAGATACGTTATGTGTGTACACTCCCATTCTTCTCGTTAATTTGCGAAATATCATGTGAATTACTTACCCGCCGCAAAGAAAAAGAAGAGAACACAATGACCATTAAAAATATCATTGTTTAGAGATCTAGATAATTTTATAGTTTCTTAATTTTATTTGTTTATAAAAGGAGAAATTTATAGTGTATTAAAAATGAGTATAGAGAGTAGATGGCAACTGCTTCCGGGTCCTCGGCCTCTCATGGGTTTCCAAAGCGACTTAGGCCGGGTCTCCCTCTCATTCCATGCGGCAAGTGTCGTGATGAGACGAAGATTGTGATGGAGTACCGAGTGAAGAAGGAGGGTCCCAACAAGGATCGTGATCTTCTACAAGTGTCCGGATCGCAATGTGAGTTATTTTATCGTATTTAATGATTATGGTTAGTTTATACCTATTTTCATGATGGTTGTGATTAAAGTTCTAATTTTTTGTTTTAATTTCAGTGGGATGGCAGTGGGCGATGTTCGGGCTTCTCACCGGAAGGAAGAGTATGTTGGACTCGTGCAAAAATATCTGCACTGTGAGTGAATCTGACGGCTAATGAGGCGTGATCCAAGCCGAAGAAGCCCCAAGATGTTGCACAATCGGGGATCACATCTGTTTTAGTTGAGATTGGTCGTGAAATCCTACCGCCATTGAAATGTATTTTAGCTTTAGTTCTTTTAGTGGTAGTTGGGATTGTCTACATTGTAGCGATGCTTTCATAAATTTGTATCTTTTGTGGTGGCACGCATGTTGTATAAATAATTAATTATGATCTAGGTTTTAATATGGTATTTATGTCATGTAATGCAGATGAGCCGTCATTGGATGTATAATATTGATCGCCGCTCCCAAGAGTTCATTGACGGTGCATTCTTTGTTACGTGTGGCCGAGGCAAACAAACACGATGATGGTTCATGTCTGCCCATGTGCCATATGTAAGAATACGGTGGAATATTCTTGCTCAAGGACTCTTCATTCACACTTGTTCAAGTCGGGTTTCATGCCAAACTATATTTGTTGGACAAAGCACGGAGAAAACGGTGTTGTAATGGAAGAAGGTGAAGAAGAACAATGGGACGACAATGATATTATTCCCGATGGTGCGTGCTTCAATGATCTTTGCAATGGGAGAAAAGTGAAGAAGAGGTAGCCGCAGAGAAGATGAGCCGGTGATGATCTTTCTCAGTCATTCGTGGACGCACAAAGAGAATGTGAAAGTGAAAAGGAGAAGATCAAGTTCGAGCGGATGCTAGAAGATCACAAGAAATTGTTGTACCCAACTTGTGATGCGAGGCGAGAAAAAGTTGGGAACCACACTAGAATTGCTGCAATGGAAGACAAAGAATGGTGTATCGACAAGGGATTTGGAGAGTTACTAAAATTCAAAAGAAGATGCTTCGAAGGACAATGAATTGCCCGCCACTACCTCTGAAGCAAAACAAGTTGTCTCGTCCTATGGGGCTAGAAATAGAGAAGATACATGCATGTCCTAATGATCGCATCCTGCAACGTGGCAAAAGTACGAGAAATTGGATGCATGCACGGTATGCCATGCGTCATGGTATATAAGATCAAAGCGAGATGACCCGGTGATGTTGAGGGCGAACGTCCGCGGAAGAAAATCCTCGCCAAGGTTATGTGGTATGCTCCTATAATACCACGCTTGAAACGTCTGTTCGAAACAAAGAACATGCAAAATTGTTGCGATGGCACAAAGAAGACCGTAAGGTAGACAATATGTTGAGACACCCTGGCGATGGGTCCCGGTGGAGAGCAATCGGGAGAGAATTCAGAGTTTGCAAATGACGCAAGAAACTTAAGGTTTGCTTTAAGTACAGATGGTATCAATCCTTTTGGAGAGCAGAACAGTAGTCATAGCACTTGGCCTGTTACTCTAAGTATCTACAACATTCCTCCTTGGTTATGCATGAAGCGGGAATCTCATACTTCTTCGTAGCTCCAGATATTCTAAGAAAAAAGGTGACTTCTTACCAGCAACAACAGCGGAAATCTCGTAAGCCGTCCAAATCAACGTTATCAGACTATGACCGCACTCTCACCAAGTCAATTGAGGCGGCACAGAAAAAGAAGCGGGCAGGAAAACGCATTGCCCAACTCGGACAACAAGCGCACCAATCAATCCCCCCGCTAGTTGTTGGTAATGAATATGGTTCGAATTTAGGATTAATGCATCAGGCAAACATACCTCCGGATGTCGATTTGGATCACCTTGGTGAATTTCTTGATGAGACTGGTCTCGACCTTTACCAGATGTTTGGTGATGGAAACATTGAGAGTGCGGCGGAGGTTGATATTTGGAAGAAAAAATTTGTACTAGGCCAGAGTCTATACAACCCTCAAGCCTTATCTCGATCCGGGGTCGCAAATGTACTACCGCTAAACAAGTGATACATGCAAAGCGTCTACCGATGGAGACTTCTGCGTTGGTGTTAGAATTAGAGACGAACATTGGTTCCGTGGCGATGATGTTATGTATGTTGACTTTGTAGAATTTCATCAACTATGCCACCGACCTCTCTAGACAAAGTTATCATTAGTTGCTATTGCTGTAAGTAATAATTCTTTTCGATCTATTATTAAACTCATCATATGTGTGTATATGCATATAAATTATCCTAACAAGTACTATATATATGCAGATTTACAAATGAGCTTTCGAGAAAGGAAGGCTGCAATGAAATTGGTTTTGTTGATCCCCATATAGTATTCAAGACCCAATTACTTCAAAGACTAATTGGAAGTCCGAGAGTGGAGAGTAACTTCATGAACTTCTTAGTGAACCAACGCCACAAGAAGGATATACTCTTTCCCTATAACTTCAAGTGAGTGTTAATCATGTCGATCATATCCTTAATGGCTCATATATTGATTCTAGTTAATTAATGAGTGTTATGCGTTATATCCTATAAACACATGCAGCAATCACTGGATATTGATGGACATCGATCTGGTGAAAAGTCACTTGATAATCTATGACTCGATGAGAAAACCACAACAAGACTACCAAGATATGATAGATATTATCCAGAGGTAATTTCGGGATCTCTAGCAACTATATATACACACAAACATGATGATTAACTATATCTGATGACGTGGCAAATTTTTTATTGGGCAGTGTTTGGAAAACCTTTATTGAGAAGCAACACATGGAAAAATGCAAAGCGCCACTGAATGTAATCCCTTTGAAAGTAAGTCCCCTGAATCGCATCATCTTTATTAATTAAACATATAGCTTTCACCGGATCACCAGATTGGATGACAAATTTTTTTTTTCGTAAAGTGGTGTCTAAGGCAGGAACAGGGGAACAACTACTGTGGTTACTATGTTTGCAAGTTTATCAAGGTGCTCTCCCAAAGAACTCCTACAGAGAGACTCAAAGTACGTTAAAAATACACTATATATTCATTTAATTATTATTATTGATTGTGTTACTATGTCTTTATATATATATATATATATATATGTACATATATTAATTTATTTTCCTTTAATTCAAACCTGTAGACTCGATGGTTGGAGGAAAAGGTCATACGGCAAGACCAAATCAAAGCAATTCAAGAGTCTATAGCCGGATTTTTTAATGAGCAGGTCATCGATTCCAAGGGCGAGTTCTACTTCGACCCAACACTGCCATTGAAGCCAAGCTAGAGGATGAGAGGAAACTTGTTATGTCACAACAACTGTAATGCAATCTTTTGTAATATATGCACATGAAATAATATAATGTAAAATACACATATGCATTTATGCATGTAAATATATATATGATGCATGCATTCATATATATATATATATATATATATATTTCTATGCTTGAATTGTGTGATTTAATACGTTCATTGTGCTTGAACCGAAACATACTATATGCGCGTATAAATGTATAATTAGCAGCGTACAATACGATTTCGAAAACCTATTTTGAAAAGAAAACAAAAAAAGAAAAAGAAAAGAAAAAAGAAAAAAAACCTTTAGTCCCGGTTCGTATTACCAACCGGGACTAAAGGTGCCGGCCATCGTGGCATGTCAGGAGGCACCTTTAGTCCCAGTTGGTGTTACCCACCGGGACTAAAGGACCCCTTTAGTCCCGGATGCTTGCTCCCGGGTGGGGAACCGGGACTAGAGGGGGTTCGCCACCGGGAGTAAAGCTCGGTTCTCTACCAGTGTTATTGAAGCGTTAGGTACACTATTATGTCCGCTAAGTACGTTCCTTACATGCCAGTTTCAGTTCGCACACTGCTGTACCGACTAACTTGGGGCACCAATCTCTTTCTCTTTAGACATGTTTCTGATTGGCACTGCCCTTCTCACGTTTGGCATGGGGCTGTACATCATGTTCTATGGTTCTCAGAGCATTCAGAAACAGGCACGGCACATTGACACGTCCCACTTAGGTGCATTCAATATGAAGGTAAATCGACCCCTGTCAATACTTGTTGAATACACAGATCCATCACCCATGTATGGGTGCTAATAACAAGGAGCTACAAATCCATACCAGAAACTGAAAGAAGGGGCCAGGATCAGGTCCGTCACGCAGGCGAAGACGAGGATAGGCCACGCCATACTCCTGCTGCTCCAGGTGGGGTTCTTGAGAAGTTCAAGAGCATGCCGCTGGTTACTGGACTCGACATGGCCTGCTTTGGTGGAGCGGTGCTCGCTTCCTCTGCCGCTGTCTTCCTCCTCTCGAAGCTCAATATGGGTCAGGATCGATTGAAGCAAACCTTTACTTGAACATATCTCCATGTCGCAGCACAGGAAATACCCACAAATTGCAAGTATGGATACACAGACACAAGAGGAAAACGCATTCCTTCTACAGTTCTACATCAAGGGAAGGGGATCAGAACATTTAGAGTCGCAGTTCCCGCGTTGCACTAGTAGATTACTTTCAGTTTTCGTTCACTAGTTTTCCAATCTTTACCCATGGCTCTCATAAATGAATTTGTATATTCTTTCGCAAGACTGGCAAAATTGATCGTGAAAAAGAAAAGGTCTAGGAAATTAGGAATAAAAGAAAAAAGTGTAGGGTTCTTATGCTTTCGCTTATGTATAGGGCAAATGGTTTGTGTTTGGATCGATGATGTACCTCTCTATAACCGTAGATCCAGGAAGGCTCCTCACCCTGGGTTCCTCTGCACGCCTGGCTGCAGCCTCGCGGACGCCGGTACTTGGCACGGTGGTGAGGAGACGAGGTGGCGATACCGTGGAGGTCTAGAGGGGACGGTGTAGACCTGCAGGCGCGACGGTGAGGTTGGTGGGGCACATCCCGTCGCTGGCAGCACTTCTTTAGGATCGGATTAGGGTTTTCTCTGTAGGTGGGTGGCGGCTCCGTTCAACCTCGTGACCCGAGCCCAGTTCCCCACTCCTCTATATATATGTGCTGTGCGACAGGGGCCCACCAACCAGTTAGGGTTGGGCTCCCCCGATTAGGGAGCAGAGGCAAGGGCCCAATAGACCGTTGTTGGTGGAGATCAACTAACATTCTCCCCCTTGATCTCATTACATCTTTCAATTTCATATCATTTACTTTTGTTCATTTCATTACAGATTAGCGCATAGAGCATGTCTCATCGTCACGGTCCATTGCCGATAGACTTAACAGCTACAACACACTACTCTGTTCTAAAATAGATACTTATCTTTGGGCCTTCTTTTGTCCAGAAATTTTAGGCTTTCCCTTAAATCTATGCTAGCTACATGTTCTCTGAATACCATGTTCTCTGAACATGTTGGGTGGTAAGCCTTTTGTAAGCGGATCTGCAAACATTCTTTCTGTACTTATATGCTCAAAACTTATGACTTGATCCCAGACTTTATCTTTCACAACATAATACTCTATGTCAATGTGTTTGGCAGCACCACCTGATTTATGTTGTGAGCATACTGTACTGCCAGATTATAATCACAGTATAACTTAAGTGGTCTATAGATGTCGTCAACCACCTTCAAACCGGATATGAACTTCTTTAGTCAGTTCACCGCCCGTTGCCTCATAACACGCTACAAACCGTCATACATTGTGGACGATGTAGTGACAGTTTGCTTTCAGCTTTTTCATGAAATAGCTCCCATTTGCGAGATGATAGAAAATCCACGTCTAGATATGTATTCACTCTCGCATAATCATAATCTGAATATCTCACTATGTGGAATGAATCAGATCTTCTATATGTCATCATGAGGCCTTTCGTTCCTTGCAAATAATGCAAGACTTTCTTTACTAATTTTAGTGTTCTATTCTAGAATTGCCCTGGAATCTGCCAAGTAAAACCCGGTAACAAATGCTAAATCAGGGCGCGTACATACTTGAGCATGCTGCAAGCTTCCGACAGCTGAAGCATATGGAACCACTTTCACTTTATCAATTGAGATCATATTGGTTCCTGGGCATTGAAAATTCCCATATATATCGCCCTTGACTATAGGAGCAGGTGATGGACTACATTTGTGCATACTGAATTTCTTTAAGATCTTTTCCATGTATGCCTTTTGTGACAGTGCTTATATCATTTTTCTTCTATCTTGGTGAATCTCGATCCCCAGAACGAACGAGGCTTCGCCAAGATCTTTCATATCAAATTTCTTTATCTCCAGTAGTAGACTGACATCACTACTAGCAAGTAAGATATCATCTACAAATAAGACAAGGAAGATAAACTCCCCATTCTTGAACTTTATATTAACACAATTGTCCTCTATATTCTCTTTACTTTGTATAGACACAATTGTCCTGTACACTATCTTTAAAACAAAAAATTCTTTATTGTCTGATCAAACTTCAAGTACCACTGTCTTAAAGCTTGTTTTAATCCATAAATGGATTTCTTTATGCGGCATCACATTCGTTCTTTTCCTTCCATGATAAAACCTTTCGGTTGTGCCATGAAAACATTTTTCTCTAAGTCTCCGTTGAGAAATGTCGTCTTTACATCCATTTGATGTAATTCTCAATCGTAATATGCCACTAATGCCATTATGATTCTAAAAGAAACTTTACATGAGACTGGAGAAAAGGTCTCATTGTAATCAATCCTTTCTCTTTGCATATAGCTTTTTGCCACAAGTCGCGCTTTATATTTCTCTATATTTCCTTGAGAGCCAAGTTTTGTTCTGTAGACCCATTTACAGCCTACTGTTTTTGCTCCTTTAGAAATTATTTCCAAGTCCCAAACTTTATTGGCATTTATTGATTTCATTTCATCTTCCATGGCCTCAAGCCACTTTGATGAATGATCACTTCTCATGGCTTCTTCAAATGAGGTGGGATCATCCTCCATTTAAAATTCCTCAGTGTTGTACACTTCATAATCAGCAGGAATAGCTGATTTTCTAACTCTTTGTGACCTTTTAGGGGCCTCCACTTTTGGCACATCTTCTGTTTGAGGTTGTTGTTGCTCCCCCTCATGTATGGCAATAGGTTCTATAGAATCCCGAAAAACAGGTTCCTCATCGTCATTCATTGTTGCCACAGGTGGGATAACAACAGGTGCTGACACCATAGTCTCTTGCACTATCGGTGCAGCGACAACAGGTAGTGAGAAAATTGGCTCATGAATCATTAGAGTGGGCGCATACACCCGCTTCCCTTCAAGGACAATTTCTCGAGCTAGCATGCTCCCCCTCATCAATTCATCCTCTAGGAAGACAGCGTGTCTCGTTTCCATAAACTTTGTCAGTCCCTCTGGACAGTAGAAACGAAAACCTTTTGACTTTTTTGGGTAGCCAAAGAAATGGCACCTTACTGTTTTTGGATCTAACTTCCCAATGTTTGGGTTAACTACTATAACCTCAGCAGGGCTCCCCCACACACACGCAAGTGGTTTAGTGAGGGTGCTCTTTCTGTCCACAACTCATACGGTGTTTTGGGCACCGACTTTCTTGATACTCTATTGAGAATATGAATGGCGGTTTTTAACGCCTCCATCCACATGCTCAACTGTAAGGTGGAGTAACTTATCATACTGCCCACCATATTCATCAGGGTGCGATTGATTCTTTTAGCTACTCTATTCTACTGAGGTTCGCCCGATGTAGAATACTGGGCTACTATCCCATTCTTTTAGGGTATGCCGACCATAGTACTCCCCCATGGTCGGACCTGACTATCTTAATCTTTAATATCTTAAATTTATTCAATACATCTTTTCTTTCTTTGATTGGATAAATATAGCCATAATGGGAGTAATCATCTGTGAACGTTATGAATGGATTATAACCATCCACACTTTTTACAGGAAAGTTGACCACAGATGTCTGTGTGAATAATTTATAAAATTCCTACGCTTTATTTGTCTTCTTTCTTAATCTTATTTACATACTTTCCTTTTATGCATTCCCTGCATTGAACTTAATCTGAGAGCTCTAATAGAGGAAGAATATCATTCTTAACTTGTCTTTCTATTCTCTCCCTCGAAATATGGTCTAAACGACAGTGCCATAATTTCGACAACGCATCGTGAGCTCTCTTATGCCATTCTTTTATCAGAGTAACACTCTGTCACCAGCTATTTTATCAGTTGGGTAGCATATGTCTTTGAAGAGCCAGTGAACTAACTCTTTATTCTATCGAGGTACTCGGTGACCGTGTCACACTCTGGGATTGAGCCCCACAATTGCAGGTTCAATCATGTTCTTTATCACAGCTAAACATTTCTTGTTGGCAGTGACCCACTTCCTATGCACAAAAGTCATAGGACTATCTTTTGGGATTCAAAATCCCTCTCTTTAGTTGCCTAAGTGGCATCAATCTCTTTTGTCTTCCTCACTGGTGTCATAGAATCAGTAGGACACGGTGAGGTGACTACCCAGTTCACCTTAGTCAAGATGAAAACCAGGACAACTCTTTTCTTAACATAAAATTAACACCATTTGCATGCCTTGATTCTAACGTTGGTCAAAATCAAAACATACAACTGTCCGTATACACTAATTCTACATCACCGTTGGGCAGAAATAAAATTAATGCATAAATCATTAACATTTACAGCTGTTCTCATACACTAATTCTATATCACCATTGGACAGAAGTAGAATTAATGCATATATCAATAAAATTATCAACTTTTCTTATACACTAATTCTACATCACCGTTGGGCAGAAGTAGAATTAATGCAATAAATCATTAAAATTATGATATTGTTATTAACAACGTTGGTCAGAAAATAACAACATCACAATCATGTCAAATCTCTTTTTCTCCAATTAAATACCACATTGGTTCAAAAATAACTAGAGAATAAACAACTTCTTTAGCTGTGGAAAAACTCTCCTTTTCTTGAATTTTACCCACAGGGAAAATTGCTTTTTCTATTTTCTTTAATCCATTAATCATTTTCTAGGAAATAAACATTTACTGAAAAACCTTTCTTTTTCTCCAGTTAAATATCACGTCCGTTCAAAATCACTAGAGATAATACTTTTTCTTTAGCAGCGGAAAACGTATACTCAATTTCTTGAATTTTACCCACAGGTAAAATTCCTTTTTTCTATTTTTCTTTTGAGCCAATTTGCATTTTCAATTTCCCATTTTTTAATTTTCCTGGAAAAAGAAAAATACAAAGCCGGGCTCTTGCTCTTCCTGTGTCGGCCTAAACCGGTCAAAACCGGCTCGGCCCATCTGTCCGCACGCGCGCAGGCCGCACCTAGGCCACAACCTGGGCCTGGGCCGGCAAAGTGCCGCGGCGCGCTTGCGCCCCCCTGGGCCGGCGACGGCCCGATCAATCTTGTCCGTCCGCGTCGATCCGACGGCCGAGCGTCGATTTTGCTGAGGATAAAACCACGACGCCGCACCCCCGAGCAAACCCTAGGTCACTTTCATTCGCTCTCTCTCTCTTCGCCTCACTGCTCTCTCTCTCTTCTCTCCTCGGTGAGCTGCGAAGCGCGAAGCAAGCGAGCGCAAATACATGCATCGAGCAAAAGCAAAGTGGCGAGTGGGCATCCATGGCACCGCCGCCGGCCCCCTCACTGGCGTGCGCGCTCCCCAGCGGGTGAGCGCGCCGCCATCGAGCGTCCTAGCTATGGTGACCCCTTGGCCGAGCCCGGCGAAAAATCTTCCTGGCTCGGTCTTCTTCTCCCTCGTCGGCGAAACGGTTCGCCCGGTGCATGGCGAGGTCTTTTTCCATTCCCTCTTCCCTTTCTCCATTCCCATCCCCTTTTTCTTTTCGATTTGGATTCTTCTTCTCTTTTCCAAACCAGTGGATGGGAATAGGGTTTAGATCTAGGGTTAGGGTTCAGAATCCGACCTACCCTTTTTTTTCCTTTCTCTGATTTGAGTTTTCTTTCTCTTATCCGAACTGATGTGGGGAATTAGGGTTTGGATCTAGGGTTCCTTTCTTTTTCCCCTTCGGATTTGAGTGGGTCTAGGCCGAATCCCTCTTTCTTTGTTTTTCTTTTTTTTGGTGCTCGGATTGAACCGATTTGGATTTCTTTTTATTTCTTTTCTTTTCGGGTTTCATCCGAATCCTCTCGTGGGTTAGGGTTTGAGTGCCGAGGGCTTGCCGAGGGCCCTTCCTTTTCTTCTTCTTCTTCCCCAATCGGATCTAGATCTTGTTTGCTTTTCTTTGTTTGACCGATTGGGGTTAGGGTTCGTGTGCCGACCCCTTTTCTTTGTTCTTTTTCTTTTCGCTTGTTCACCCGAAAAAGGGGATCTAGGGTTAGGTCTTAGGGTTCGGCCAAATCCGAACCCACTCTTCTTCTTTCTCACGCGAGTTAGGGTTAGAGTTGGGAAGAACCCTCTTTCTTGTCAGATCCAAACTGGATTTGATCTTTTCTGTTCTTTACCGTGCGTCGTCGAACGGTGCGCCTTCTTTCCCCACGCGGTGGCGGTGGTGACCGGGGTTCCAGTGATGTCCGCCACCCCGGTCCTTTTTCGCTTTGCTTTTACCGGTTAGGGTTAGGGTTACACAAAGGCAACCTAGCTCTGATACCATTGTTAGGATCGATGGTGTACCTCTCTGTAACCGTAGATCCGGGAAGGCTCCTCGCCCTGGGTTCCTCTGCACGCCTGGCTGCAGCCTCGAGGACGCCGGTACTTGGCACGGTGGTGAGGAGGTGAGGTGGCGATACCGTGGAGGTCCAGAGGGGACGGTATAGACCTGCAGGCGCGACGGTGAGGTTGGTGGGGCACATCCCGTCGCTGACAGCACTTCTTTAGGATCGGATTAGGGTTTTCTCTGTAGGTGGGTGGCAGCTCCGTTCAACCTCGTGACCCGAGCCCAGTTCCCCACTCCTCTATATATATGTGTGATGTGCAATATGGGCCCACCAACCAGTTAGGGTTGGGCTCCTCCGATCAGGGAGAGAGACAAGAGACAAGGGCCTATTGGTGGAGATCAACTAACAATTTGTACTTCACATCCATTATACGATGTCAATAAAACTTATATGTCTCTATTGCTTTGTAGCACTAGTTTGTGTTCATTACACCTTGTCTCAAAAAACCTACTAAGGAAAGAAAAATTAAAAAACAAATTCATCTTCTTCCGATAGTAGTCATACATTCATACTTTAGGTCAATGGAAATAAAAATGAAACATTCAGCTTCACAAGTAAAAATAAAATTCAGGCTAAAAAGGTAAAAAAAATCGAATGGAAGAAGCTTCGGGTCACATACTATTCGCAAAAAAAATGAAAACTAAGTTTGTCAAACCGTACTCTTACACGGGCTAGTAATTTTAATAGACATAAGTGGTACAAGCCATAGCTAAAAATTAGGACTCATTAATCAAAATTGCTTACCCTCATTTGTTCACGCACAATACTCATATAAATACAGAAATACCCTAGAATCTTTATCGTGTTATGTAGACTTTAGCTACCAATTACGCTATATATTTTTCTATCTCCATTCATAGTTTTCACTTTTGTATCATACTTCCACATGGGGTTAGTAGAAACCTTAGTTTGAGCTACATGCATAAACATGAGTATTGTTAAAAGGTGACTTCGCATTTGCCGACAAGACCTAGTACTTACAAGATTGATCCAAAAAAGTAAAAGAATATGCGTCGTTCAATTTTATTTTATAATGATCTAACGATTTAGATTTAACCAAATTTCTCATTGAAAAATAGTAGAAGCAAATAATTTACAAGCATATATTGGAGTAGTTTGGGATCTATATTTTTATAATGGGAGAGGTAAGTGACTAGAAATAGATTTAAAGAATATTTTGGTTTATTTTAATAAGACCAAAGGTACTGATTTATATTCTAATTTAACGGATTACTTTATATTATAGTATAGGTGGTAATTTACACGGTCTCGTGAGTCCGTTTTAGGTTATACTAGCTCTGTCTCTAAAAGGATGCAACTATAGGTTGCGTGTCAGTTAAAATACTTCAAGTTTGATCAAGTTTCTAGTAAATAGTGTTCATATTTATGACTCCAAATTAATTCATTATAAAAAAATATTTCATAATTAATCTAATGATATTTATTTTATATTATAAATATTTATATTTTTTATCTATAATTGATCAAACTTGATATATAAAACATGATATTGTTCCAGAATTGCATTTTTTTAGGATGGAGGGAGTATTTCATAAGGGTTATGTTGGATAGTTTAGATATAGACTTGGGTAGTAATTTTAGACTTTCTTATGTTGGCAACTTTTTTAGAAATTAAAATAAGTCCAGGAACCCTTTAGATTCTTGCCATTGTAAACATTAGGCTTCAAATTTGACTAGACCCACATACCACTGTCCATAGATCCACGTGTCATTCACTAAAGTGGCAATAATCGTAACCATGGGGCAAGTTTGCATTGGTAAATTTCCAATTATTTATAGATCAGTGGATATAATTGTCAGCGGTGATAAGAGTTTACTAAATTGACAGCTGAATAGCTTTGTTTTGTTGTGAAAACTTTTAAATATTTTTTTAAAAGAAAGAGTCTTGTGGACCTCTTTCTAGAAGCGTTCTTTCCCGGTATCTCTAAGATGAGAATACGAGATGTGAATATGTGAGATAGTCCAGATGGCCGCGTACATTCATGGTGGAGTCTGAGACTCATGCCCCGTTTGGGAGAGCTCCGCTCTCTAATTCTTCAACTCTACTCTTTGATTTCGATGGAGTGATTTCATTGGATTCCTAGAAAGGAGCAGGTAGAAAGCTAGTGAGAAGCGATTCTCTACTAATTCCCACCAGAATATAACAGGACCAAGGTAAAGCAGTTTTTTTTACTCCTAGCTCCTAGTATAAATGAAGAAGCGATTCTCTTCTAACCCCAACCTAAATTAGTTGGCATTTTTAAGTGTTTAGCTGGGTATAGAAATGATTCTATTCAGAGAAGCTGAAACTGGAGCTCTCCCAAACGACCCCTCGGAGATACATCTGGCTTCATGTATGCGCCTCTGCAGCGGCTTGGCTGTTATTTCGGGTGCCTAGCGCCTGATGCCCTAGCTCCGCGCCGTCCGTATACCGCCGCGTATCCGCAGCGAGCCAGGGAGGAGCGAGATTGCGAGATGAGAGCAAAAGCGGTTGGAGGCCGCGGAAGTTTTTTTTTTAGCAAGACGGTACCCTTCTTTATTCATTAGGATAACTTTATTAGGTGGAGCAACAAACTAAATATATCGTCCTACCGATAACTTTACGTAGACTGAGCATCAACGTTGCCGCGGAAGACTGACTGGTGCTGATGCAGCGGATCCGCGTGACTGGTCTGGAAGTGGGTTCGACGATGCTCGCGGGTTGGCAATGGGCCCCGTCATATTGGGCCGAAATGTGAAGAAATATAGGCCGAAAGCCCATCTCGGCTTCTCTGCCTGCGGTCGTTTGTGTGGTTGGCGACGCCCATGCCTTCTGCACCTATGCTCCTTTTTTTCACTCTAAAAAAACTTACACTCCTTCTGTAAGATGTAAAAATATGAAAACTTACAGGATTTCGGTTGTTTGGACTTGTCTCCACAATGCTTCATAAGTTCATATAGTTTTGAGATGTGAAGATGGACTCACGTCCCCGGAATTGAATAATGGTTAAACAACTTTGTTTAATCTGTGTGCTGAAGCTTATTTTTTTTCATTTCCTTTTTTTTTGTCTCTTGAGCTTTTTGGCTTCTGCATTGTAATCTGTTTTGTACTCCCTTTTGTACTGTTTCTTTATTTTCAATAAAAACCATTAGGGGTGCACCCCTCCTGTTCAACGTCAAAAAAAATGGACTCACGGTAAAAATGTGCTCATTCTTGAGTGTCCGGCTGCCATTATAATCCGGCTTATAAGCCATGGTAATTAACCGTACAAATCAGCATAAGCGGCTTTACGAGCAGCCAAACAGAGCCCTTCTCAAAAGATGAGGAAATGTTTCCCCTCAAAAAAAAAGATGAGGAAATGTATGCAGTACAACTCTCACCACCCAAAACAAATGATTCTGCCATTCTGGAGACACTGCAACGATACATTTTGTGAACACTTGCGTCTCAGGTTATTAGCAAAAAAAACTACGTTCTTAACAGGTTGCCAATTCAAATCGCAAGTGAAAAGAAGTTAAAAACTGGATCGTTTATGACATATATGATCGCTCATATTTTTTTCCCTGATGGGCGATCGCTCACGCTTAGTAACTCTCAGCAGAGGAAACGCTGAGCTCAAGAAGCAGCGCCGCCGCCGTGGCACCAGGGCGGGGCCGCTGGCCCCGCAGGACGGCATGCCCTCGCGCGAACGCGAACGCGCCAGTGCCGCCGACCACTCGCAGCACCTTCTCCTCCCCGTCGTGCCGGCGTCGCCCGCCCCGCCGCGCCTTCTCGTCGCTCGTCTCGACGCAGAGGCTGCCGGACAGCCCAGCGCCGCCGTCGAACGCCAGGTGCACCGTGTCGAACACCGACGCCGCGGCGGCCCGCTCGCCCGCCGGGAGCAGAAACCCAGAGGCCGCGCCGACGGTCGTCGACGTGCTCTCCGGCCCCGCCGTCATCCGGTGGTGGAACACCAGCGCGCTCGCTCCTCGCCGGCGCTCTTGGACTTGTTGCTCTTGCTGCACGACCGGCGCCGATACCGTGGGGTGGATGTACACCGTGAAGGTGCGCTGGCCTGGAGCGCCCTTGTGGCCGCCGCCGGACCGGTGCGGCAGCGGGGAGACGGTGGCGAGGAGGACGACGGCGAGGACGGCGGCGGCGATGACCACGCAGAAGATGATCCTGGCGAGCATCGTCGTATCATTTCTTATCTGTGGAGGCCAAATGCGGGACTGGGCAGCCCGGTGAGCATTTCAGGAATCGCGGTGCGACGCAGCGGTGATCGGTTGTGATTTCTTGGATTTTCTGACGATGGATCGGAGAAAGATGCTTGGAGAGCAGTTGAATTAGCTACTTAATCCATTGTGGTGCCTTGGGGTCAAACATAAACTGAACCATTGACGAAAAGGGCAACGCAAAATAAACAAAGCAAATGACTTGGGTTTAGTGTGGTTGGAACGTAAGCCATGGGCGCCTAATGGTTCGACTGTGCTAGTTTCTGCTTTCCACTATCCTACATACACACGATCAGTCTATATGATATCACATATTAGCAACGCTGAAACTTACTTTATTGTGATTCTGTGCGCTTAATTTAGGCACAAACAGGAGATCATGTCCTTTTGTTGTCAACCTCCATTTTCCCCTTGACGTGGTTGCAGATTTTGGTTGGTAACTTCTCCGTCCTGAAAAAAAAAATTGCAATTCTAGTTGCATCCCCAGTCAGACTAACTAAAGTTTAACTAAATTTCTAGAAAATAATATCAATATTTATGACACGCCATAGATAATACTATGACATATATTATATGATGAATTCAATGATACGGTTAAAATTAAGATTATTTGACTTGATAATGTGTTAGAATTGTATTTTGGGAGCATTGTTGAGCATACATGAAATCGACCGAGAGGCAGTGATCAACACTCAACTCCATATCGCCTATTTTGAATTTGGCTAAAAGTCACCGGGTAACAGCTAACGCATTGGCATCTCGCCATCTTGCGTTAGTTGTCTTGTAAACTTCTTACTTCTTCTTAATGAAACACATGCTAAGTATGTTCTGGAAAAAAAAAGAATTTGGCTAAAAGTTATAGCATTCAAGATAGTATTAAATTAAATACTGCTGGCTCGACAAAGAGATACGTAATCTACAAAATTCGTGATTGTGTTACTAGACACCAGAGTCTCACAACCATGATCTTCCCCTATATGGAAGCCTGAAATATGGCCAACACCCACACAGTAGTGCATATTCAGAACACCTTATACCAACAAAACTATTAGAACAAATCCAAAACAGAACAAAAATTGCAAAGGAGAAAAGCAATCCCGTTCCCATGATAGGTAGGGGCGTCGGATTTAAAGCGGGTCCAGTGCATCCATGATCCATCTGCCTGTACAGTGCATCCCCCATCAGGTCGGACCAACCAGACTGATCATTGGGCAATGTTCAGTGCACTGTGCGAAGTAGATCCCATCAGGATCTCTCTGCTCTCGCCGGGGTGAAAGGGACACTGCATCCCTCGCAAAGCCGCAAGCCACAAACAGTGTGTCCATGAGCACGGATTAGTTAGTCCATTCATCCAGCAAACTAGTACTGAACAGGCAGATGCCCAATGATGCGGTTGACCAAACCCATTTTGAAAATCAGGCGGGGACGAGAGATGGGTGACAGTGTGAGGGGATGCATTTCCTGTGTGCAGTTCCTTTTTTTTTTTTTTGTTGAAAGATTCCTGTATGGAGTTCTCACGGACAGGAAACAGAGGATAGTGCAGTACGCGCGCGTGCATTGCCGGATTTGTCTAACAGATGCTCCAGCCAGCCTCCATGATCGATGAAGGCATGCAGGCGGGGGTGACAGAAGGGTATAGTGCCAGTGTGCAAGTGCAATGCATTTGCCATGCAGCTGGAGAGCCCACGTCCTCGTCGAACAGCCAGCCCGTTTTGGATCTCGCCCGTGGTGGATGCACAGCCGCTGGTTGGTTGCCGTCGAAGCCATTAGGGGCCATCCGGGGTCAGGTGAACCCTCCAGCATGATCTCGCCGGCAAGGTCGACGTAGACCCCAAATCGGAGAGGAAAGGGCATTGGCACAAGAATGTAAGAATGCAAGTGGGTAGCTAATAGTGGTCTTTGTATCAGCTAAACTAATTATGGTCAAATGTCATTCTATTTAGTTTCTCCTCTCACTCAAACTTGGGATTGTGAGAGGTATTTTGTAAATCATGGATTGTGAAAGCTGAGAGTCAAAAGGTAAACAAACAAATCCAACCGAGGAGTGGACTGTTGATCTAGACAAGCTGAACTGTGGAATTTGGATTTTTTTTAAAAAAACTGTTTGTTTGTTAGTTCCAACTTTATTAAATTGTAAAAGACACAATCCGATAACCCAAAATTGAAATGCTTGTAGACCATCCACAACACAAAAAAGCTCTCAGTGATGCAGTTGAACAAACCCGTATATGAAAATCAAACACAGACAGGGTATGTTTGATCCATAGTGCTTATAGGTAGTATATATGTCGAAATTAGCAAGAAAAGATCAAATAGTTAGTGTTAATAGGCCACTTTTTCACCTTGATCTATTAGCATTTATTAATGAGATAAATGTTGCCATTAGTTACTAAAAATTAGCATGCTACTTCCTTCGTTATGAAATATAGTGTATTCTAGAGATTTTAAGGTATATTAGAGAGAATAGAAGAGATGTATATATCTTTTTTTTACGAGAATTAACTCTGTTTTTTAGAAAGAGACGTATATATCCTCACTTTATTTTCTAATCAATTTAAGTCCTGCTTGTACAGATGTTGTCATCCGCGTGTGTAAAGGGGGTTGTTTGATAAATAGCAAGGAATAATACTTTTTTTTTTTTGTTAATCACGGTCACGGTACACACAGCTCTGTTCGCCTTTGCTTCTTTTGGCTGCTGCTGCTGTGCAGTTGCAGCCCATCGGCTGCAAAAGCTTTTCATTCTCTACACTTTGCATACCAGTTGCAGATGCTGGACATTTGCTGTTTCAGGGTTGGAGGGCTGCTGCAGCCACAACAATCTCTATTGATCAAGCTCAGTATATGCGCACACCCTGTCTTTACAAGTATATATGGAAGGCTAAGCTGTCAGATCTTAAAATAGATGAAATCACCCTAGGCATATCATTATCAATGGACGTCTCATCATTATATTCTGAAATAAATACAGAAAAATACTAGAAAACAACCTAAAGGCTCAGTTCGCAACAATACACTATCTACCAAGATCGTGCGCCTATTTAATATTCCTTCATTTTTTACTTGGATATTTTTTAAATGGATACACTATAGTATTTGAGAACAGAAGGAGTATATAACAAGGATGAAATAGGGCTCTATAAATGGACAAAGAACAAAGGATTAGGATCTACGCAGGCAGGGCCGCAGGCTGACAGGAGGGCGGCGCCAGTGTGCAATGCATTTGGCTGCGGCTGGAGCCCTCCACCTCGCCGTGCGTCCTCGTCGAACAGCTCGCCCGTTTTGTTTTTGGATCTGGTGTCGGCGGCAGTTGGACCTCTACCAGCCACTTTTGTGAGATTCCGATCAGCCTATCCTCTGCACCCAGCGTCGAATTTTCGTGCAGGGACGAAGAACGGGAAGGCCGAACGGTGAGATGATGAGCACCTGATGTGTGTTTTGGTTGGTGGATCGAGAATGAACAGATGCGTTAGGATAAGCTATCGATCAAGCTTTCAGGTGTGATGATACATTGGGGCATAACACGTAGTATGTACCCCAGGCCTCTCAGCTTTGTTCCGACGACAGACAGAGGCTGCGGACGGTCAAACACACGTACGCTCGGCTGGACGGCTGGTGTCACGAGCTCAGACGGCACACGGCAGGGACAGAAGCGCCCACAGCCAGCCACGGCTAGCTAACCAGCGACGACAGTACACGATGCTGGTTGCCGAGCGGGACGTGCCAACGCTGGCATTGCTTATTCGGACGGAACCGTGCACGGTGCGACGTGCCTGGCCAGCCTAGAGGCGGCGGACAGAAACCTAACACCTTTACGCCAGGTTAGCTGTTAGCAGTACCGATCCAACCAATGCAGCGGTAGTGTGCAGTGCAGTGTAGCGGTGACCACCACTGCTTGCGCCAGAAAAGGGACCTGCTGCGCCCCGCTGGAACAGGAGTCGTGCCGTTTCGTTCCTGGCCCACTAGATCGATCGAGCGGAATTCACGTTCTGTTCCGTTTGGCTTATAATCCATAATTTTTCAGCAAATAAACAATATTTTTTTTTCATAATAAATTAGATAGCAGTATTTTCAGTTATGACTTATCAGCTAAACGAACATGACATCAGTTGATGGCTACATGATCACTTGATCAGATCAGAGCAGATATAAAAGGATAACAAACAGACACGGAAAGATGGCCTTTAACTCATGTCACTTCCGTCTTCCAGTCCAGGCCTCCCCTTTTGCCTTTTTCCTTCATCGACTCGACTCGACGTCCGATGCCGATGCGGCAATGCTCCAACTTCCTGCACTTATACGTGTACGTATTGCCCGTTCGCCTCAAAACCGCAGAAAAAAAGACACGAAGAATCCGTCGAGTCGGGCTCGAGATGGATGAGAGAGCATCCAAGAGCTCCTTCATCAGACAACGACTGACGACCCCCGGCGACTGACAGTGGCTTCGCAAATCGCATCAGAATAACCAATCCGATCTTTGTTAAATCTACACGGCTGGCCCTGAACCAACCGTTTCCAACTCAACTCACGTACTACTCGTACCCTTTTCCCGTTTTATCTCAGTGGACATTAAAGTAACGGTCTTTTGCCGACGGATACCTACTTTTGAGCATTTGGTCATAAGACACTCTGGTTCAGTAAAATTAGGCTACAGGATACCGCAGACCGGTTACAGCCGGTTGAGGAGAGAGAACAGCGGTGAAGAGCAGGGCGCGCTCTCGAGCACGCGGACGTTGGCTCCACCCGCCGCGCGGACACCGCCCCGCGCCCCCTCCGCGTCCAGCATCGCGCCACCGCAGCCGGGCGCGGGCAGCCTCGCCGCGACCCGCCTTCCTCTCGCCACCGGCGGCGCGCGCGCCGCCGCTTACACGCCCGGCACCTTGGCGTCCATCATCGGACCGCCGCCGTGGGTTCTGGTCCGCCCATGATGCTGCCGTCGTCCGCACGCGCCGTCCCTGACG